CGGGCGTGTGGGCGCCAGAGGCGCGTCCAGAAGGGAGGGTAACAGAGAGGGAGAGCTGGAGAAGCACTGCATGTCCGGCAAGGACTGTGTTAGAGCCGGCGAAATCAAGTGACGCGCGTCATGCGAAAAGCTCTCTGACATCCCAACCTGAGCATCTCACCCCGTCAAAGTCAAATCCGCCCAAAGAACCAAGGCAGGAGCCTTTCAACACCCCGCTCTGCCAAGCAGCTCTTGTACTCTGGGCCCGCTGAATCCCTCGAGGCCAGACCCCAGGCCTTGCGCATCACGCCGAACGAGGGAACAGCCACCAACGCAGCTCAACCCCTACCGGTCAACTGAGAGTTGCGTTTGCTGACCTAGCTCTTGTGGAAAAGCGATACACCCAAAAGCTCAAGAAGTTCATGGACATCTGTGTGGAACACACCTGGAAGTACCCGGCAAAGAGCAAAGTTGCTTGCATGCCGGCCAGTCGGAGAAACAAATCCACCTGCTGAGGCAAACTCATCCCTCCTGAAAGCCCTGACTGTTTACCGGCTTGTCTTGCAAGAAACCTGCAAAACGAACACTGACACTCCCTTCAGTGGATATCCCTCCCCTGTAAGTTGATAGCCCGAGTTGCAACCAGCACAACTGGGCCGGTGACTTTGCAAACATCGCCTGCCTGCTCCGCGTACTGCATCGCCTTGCCAGCAGAGGTGCTGCCTCCTTGGCCCTCCGAGAGCCGCATGATGTTTACCTCCGGGGTGACACGGAGCGGGTTGCGGCCAGTTGCGCGCCAATCATGAAGCTTGGCATGCAGACGTGGTGTCTTTCTACACAAGTTCAAATGTGTTTGTGCTGTTGCCTGTGACGAGTCACTTTCCCACGAACACAGATGCGTTAAAATGAACCACATTCAAACACAATACCTGGAGAACGGGCATCAAGTAGTTTTGAGCGAGTCTGTGCGCGCGTGTGTGCGTGTGTTTGCCTTGGATTGGATCGCGCCTGTGGCCTGCGTACTGCATATCGGCCACGTGCATGCAGAGCTTACCATGCATCTACGTGCTCGATGTGCGTGCGTATGTATTGACAATGCATGTGTATGTGAATATACATGTATATATACATTTCTACGTAAATGCACACATATATAGATACTTATAGATATATGATATGTGTGTAAAGGTTTGTGTCTGCGTACGTGTCTACAGTGATGCCGATGTTTGCGTACTTGCAACTCCGCATGCGTCGGTTTGTTTATTCACTCTTGCATCTCTACATCGTCATGGCCCATGCATACGTGAGTATCCCACGTAAACCATGGTCTTCGGAAACGACTGGCAGGGGATGGCTGAACAAATGAATGGATGGATAACTAGGTGGGCGCTCCCCCGCTGATTCATACACAGCCCCCTCCCGCCTGGACCATCTGCACCAGGGCAGCGATCTCCAGATCGATCAGGCTTTCGTTCAGCTTGGCCATCCGGAGCCTGAGAGGCCATCGCGGCTGAGCGGGGCAAAAACTGACGAGCCACTGAACCAGACCAGAAGGGTCATGTCCCCAAAAAGGCCAAGGAATCTGAAACGTTGAACCCTCAACCAGGCCAAGGATGGTCCAACCCTGGCTGCACGACTCATCACAGGCCGGAACCCACGAAGGCAAGGCAATATGTCCGTGTTGAGCTTCAATTTGTAATATCTGCGGTATTCATTTCCATTCGACCCCATCCACTTCCTGAAGTCGCTGAGTGGCATCTCCGCGGCTGACTTCTCTGCCTCGGGGATGTTTTTCGTCATCAGGAAGAGGGAGCAAATCACATCCAGAGACTCAACCTGGTCCTGGCACCATGCAAACGTCCGCGTGCTTGCAGTCGGCCCCACCAACTGAACCAAAATGGCAGACCCCAAATACAAAAGTCCTCCCACACCAGCACCCAACTACCACCCACTAGCGCCGCGTCTCCAACCCTGACTTACCACCTCGCCGACAACCACCCAACAGGTTGCTCATGCGGCCCCCGACTGCGGCTGCGAACTCAATCGACTGGGCTCCCTCGCGCGCGACGCGGGCGCCTTGATGGAGGCCTTGTTCCTCTGGGCCACCTCCAGGCGCTTGGCCGCCGCCTGCAGCGCGGCGTCATTGTGGCTGGTGGCCATGTGCAGCTCCACCACCTGATGCCACACCTGACCGGGGGGAGACTTCTCCCACTCAACCGGTACAGCCGGGGTGAGAAGAAACATGTTTCGCGACACCCATGCCAAGTTGATGTGGGCTGCCTTGGCAGGTTGCTTGACTAAGCTTGCTGGATTTTAACGGCCGCATGATCCTCATCTCACAGCAAATGGCCAGCTCGGGCTTGAGGCACAGTTCAACCCAAAATCGTTCAAGGGGATACCTCAACTCTCTTATCACTGATGGATCGGAGGCAGCCCTACGCCTGGTCCTTCTTGCAAACTGGCAGCGTGAGGTGGTCGAATCGTTGCAAAAACGCCGACACTATCTTGAATCTTGAATGCTGCTTTGTTGCTCAACTGCTCCTTTCGGCATGGCAATCGCTTTTCTGTTTCTTCACGGCTTGGGCTTGGCCACCTGTCGCTTTGGTGCATACCCCGCCTCCAATTCCTGCTGGAAGTTCTGCGTCTCCTCACAGATGCCGTGCGCCTCGCCTCGGCGAATGGTGGGAAATGGGAGTGCGGAAAAGAAAGTGCACCCCCTTTTGAAGCATGAGCGTGCCAAGCATGTTGGTGCTCCCTCTAAGTGGAGCAGCACTTTGCGAGAGCACGCAAGTGAAAACGATAGACCCTCAACCACGTGGTTGCCACAGCGACAGCCAGCTCGACCTATGCCCTTACTAAGGCAAGACTTTGCCACGGCATGGGGTTGATAGCGATTTCCCCCCACTGATGCAGGTCGTAGGGTGCAGTTTGTTTGAACTGCGTGTAGCTTGCCATTGGGCTGCCGAGGCACGGCAGCAAATCTGCGCCTCATCAAAGTTCTTGGCCGCAGCATGGCACTGCGCCAGCAATAGCCAGGTGGTGACCAGGCTCTCCTGGCCAAATCAAAGCGAAAAGTGGCCCAAGTACTGCACCCGAAGCGCGGGTTTTAGACCCCCGGCCGCAAGTACCATTCGCATCCACGGTTGCTTCTGACGGACATAGCACTCACCGCCCAGCCTGGCCCCCAACCAACCGGCCTTGTCGTTGTCCTTCTCCGAGATCTTCTTGGCCTTCTTGGCCAACGAGATGGCCTCGAAGTGGTTGCGACGGGCCAGGTTGATCCTGGGCCGGCAGCGAGGCATTCATGGAAGCGGACAGCTCAGGCCGCAAGGGCGCTCAGGCCAGAGCAAAAAGATGCAGAGCCAAGGGATTTAACTTGCAAAGTGGCAAAAATATCCACAGGTCACCAAAAGGGGCGGGGCTTTCTTGAAGCCCCCAAGTTTCACCAAAATGACCCGAGACGAGGCGACTGGGGCTTGACAAAGGGCGCTTGCGTACTCCAAGACCCGAGACGAGTCGACGAGGCGACCAGGCGAGGCGCTGCGCCAGGATCCGCAGCGCCTGGGCCTCCCGCAGGGTCTTCTTAAACTCGCGGGCCATCTCCAGGCCTTCCTGGCCACGTCCGACCAGAGGCAAAGACATCAAAATGGGCCAGAGAAAGTTGTCGAAAAAAGCAAAGGAAAGAAAGGCGAGAACCTGGGCTTGAGCTTTTTGAGCTTGGGGTTTTGCACTCGCCAAGCCCCGGAACCTGACACCTCACCAGGCAGGTTGCGCGGCGGGTTTCTACATGGGTCATGGCCCTGTCTTCTGACCCAAGGGTCCTTGGCCAGCGGCTCTGCATCATCTGGACGGCCGTGGCTCACATGAGACCTGCACCGAGCACGTAAGAACCGCAAGCAAAGAGCTGTGACCATGCAAACGGCTGCAGAAAGCCCGAGCAGAAATATGAAGAAGTTCTTGAACGGCAAGAAGGGCCAAAAAAGCAAAAAGGTCGAAAGGAGAGGAGAGAAAGCGCCAAGCCGTGAATGGAGAAGTCGGCGAGGGATATATAAAAGTATCGTCTTATGCTAAAGCTGAAACTCGAAAAGTGCCCAGCACACTTTTTAAGCCTCCACTTCACCATGCAGAGGAAAACAAACGCGAGTGCCGCATCGGAATCGCACTGCAAAAAGAATAGACTATGTAAGCACACAATACGAATCTTGAATATATGCATAAATATTGATCGTCCATAGACATCATGAGCATGCTTCGCCCTAGCGACCAAAATCACGGAATCCAACACAATATATCAAATATGATAAACAAATACAAACATGCTTCCCTTGTAGTGCAGGTAGATGATGCTTCTTCCTCAAGACCGTCTCCCACTTAGGCACCCTCTTGCCTGGCCAAGTCGACCATGATGTGCATCTTCTGCTTGCGAGACCTGGTGAGCACCGGACCAAACCCCGGTTTAGATGGGACAGTCATTGCCAACCTCCGGCCAGGGCGCTTGAGGCCTTCCATGAGGTCCGTCTCGTTCTCCGTCTTCTTGCCCTTCCCCGGTCCCCGGCTCACCGCGCCGGACCAAAGTCAAGGTGGGTCCGGCTCATTTACTTGGCAAGTGGGCATGGCAAGAAGTGGGCAAGCATGGCAGCTGTGCCTTTGGGCAAACGGAGAACGCTTGAATCTTGGGGCGGGTGGGGATTCCGGTGCTCAAGCTTGCCTGGCGCCGTTTTTACAAAAAGGATGAAAAGCAAAAGTGAGCGTTTCTGGTGTGTTGCGCCTCGTGTCACCCAATGCGTCTAACACTCCCAACTCAGGGCTTCGACCGCCCTGGTAACGGTAACGCCTGGAGCTCGTCCACGAAGACCTTCAGCGTGGTCGTCTCCATTTGCAGCCGTGGGTCGCCCTCGAAGCGCTTCAAGGAGATCTGGCCGTCAGCATGGCCGGCCGACGCGGATGAGTCTTTGAACAGCCCCGTGCTGTTTGTTTGTCCCTTGAACGGCCCAGGCCGGCTGCAACTAAGTTTGCCAAAGCCGCTCGGAAGACACGCCCCAACGTGCCATCGTTGCTCAAGCCTTACCCGTTCAGCGTCCCGCCTGGGCAGCCTTCAGCGCCTGCTTCTTCTCACCTGCGACTCCGGCGCAACAATGCATCCGTCTGCACCCCCAGCCGCCCAAAAAATCAGCCTCGCAGTCTGGCAAACTTCAACTTGACTCTTGACAAGGCTGCTTCATGCTGGCCAACCCTCGCGGAGGTTTTGATATCAAAACAGAGTTCTTCCGCCATACCAGGCAATCGTGGCATGTCAGCCAAACCTCAGCTTCGCACGCCGCGGCGAGTCAACACTGCAACCCACCTAAGGGTGACTTGACAGCTCAAAGGAAGAGCAAATCAGATCGTTCTCATGCAGTCAGCAAAAATCAGAAGTGCAGGCAAGCGAATGAGGAACCCCTTCTTGAGGCCACTTCGAACAGAAATCCAGTATAAACTTATTTGGGAGGGGCCTGCCATTGACACGACATAAATGCCACCTTCAAGGCAATGTCTGGGTTGTCCAACGCAAGACACCGCTGGCGGCCTATGTGAAGCAGCGCCTGCAATGCAACATGCAGCGTGATTGTCTCCTCGCAGGGGGCACAAACCAAACCCAGGCATGCATCAAGCAATCCATTTGGGAGGAGCTGCACAAAACGCAACGCGACTCGGCCGTTTTCATGAGATTCCGTTTCCAGCGACGGCTGACATGACCCAATTTCACCAAGAAGCAAGAATTGCTTCACACGATGACTAACACACAGTACAGACCATACTCCCGCACTGAATCTCATCTTCTCTTTTTGCCAGCATATGACGACCCTCTCGCCCTCCTCTCCTCTCCTGTTCCCCATCTCTTCCCCTCGCCTTCCCTTCGCCTGTCCCCGGCCACAAGTCTCTCACCTGTCTGACGACTCCTGGTTGGGCTCGGGGTACTTCCGCGACAGCTCCAGCGCCTCCAGCGCCTCCCGCGCCGCGATGCGTCCTGAAGCTGCAAAGCCGGAATTCAGCAGGCGGACAGGGCACGAAAATTCGCGGTTTCCAGTGCGGCTTCCCCATGAAACAACCCCCCCGCTCAAAAAAAATGAAGCATACTCAAAGAAGGAGTTTGTCCTTGCATGCTGGCTTCAAGCCAAGGGCAGTGCATCCAACACACGTCCGCTCACAGGTCATTGAATCCATGATCATTGTGGAACTCGGGCTTCTGCCAAGCAGGCGGACACAGAAGAGGAAGCCCTGCACATGTCCTTGGTTTCCCTCGAGGGTCATGCGCCACATAGCGATGGTCTTCAGCTCTGCGATCTCCAGGCGCCGATCCTGATGGCCGCTCCGCAGGAAGCAAAAAGGTGAGCTGCACAACGCACCAGTACGATGAGCTGGTATTTCATTCGTCCTCCGATCAAGTCTTAGCCACCTAGTCGCTGGGTAGCTAACACCTCCAAGGCCAAGCAAACACAATGGCATGGGGGTACAACCAGTTTTACAATATATGTATATATGCATATATATATACACACACACATATATATATATATGTGTGTGTGTGTGTGTTCCATTTATCTCTGAATATACATATATATATATATATATGTAGCGATAGAGATGTGTGTGTGTGTGTATGTGTGTGTTTGTGTACATGTACTCATACAAATTACAGCGTGTCGCGGCACTCAGGGTCCTAAATTAACGCAGCCAGTAACGCAAGAATTGCCATCTAGTACCCTCCTTGCCCACGCCCGTCATCCTGCAAGCACCTACTCGGCTGTGACACTTGAACTTCCTGGCTGATGCTCAAATGGCTCCCAAATAAAGGCAACCTCTCAAGCGCAAGCCTACTCTGAAAATTGAAAAACCCCGAAACCCCCCCTTAAAACCCTGATTCCAATTGCTTAAGCTGTTCATCTTTACCAGCATGCTCGTTTTGAAGCACTTCTCCTGACTCTCAAATTCGTCTGACACCAAAATCCGGCTGACGTTTAAAAGCGCGCTCCAAGAGGAGAAGCACCCTCGCTAACATGTTGCGTTCACGCAGTCTTCATTGTCATTGACTTGTCTTCTTCAACCGCCCGAGAGCGGCGCTCCAATTGAGGCCCCTGCGTGCCGCAACAAGGTCATATTTTGAAACCTGACATGCGTATGCACAATTGAAAAGTCTAGCTATATAAGGTATCAATGCATTCAAGCGTAAATATCTCATGAACTGCGGCCGAACTTTAGGATCCACGGACTACACAAAACAACAAGAAGCTCCCAGGCAGCTCCCACCCCGGTGTCACCACGAGGCACCCCAATGTCGCGGTAGATCGCCAGCGCCTGTGCACCAATCGGGCCGCAGTTCCCCTCCCAGGGCTCGGCTTCTATGGCAACACCTAAGCTAACAGCTGCTAACATATATTTGTTTGTAAAGAGGGTGCTTGAATCGCTGGGTGCTACCCCGAAGAATTGTGCAAATGGGATGGCAGCCCTCCCCGCGATGGCTGATCTTCCATGATTGCACCACACCCTCAGCCTTACTGTCCAGCAACCTAACGTTTATTGAGGGATGGGCTGCTTGGAGACAAGTCGCAACCCCCGCTTCCCTGCTTGGGGAAACCTCCCCTCTTCCCCTCTCGACTCTCTGCTCCTGCACGGCCGTCTCCACCGCCGCTGCCGTGTTGCCCTCCCCGAGGTGCGCCAGGCTGGTGCCATGCAGCGACATGCCCTGGCGCTTGCGGTCGCTCACCTGGCGTCTGAAGTGGAGCCAGGTCCAGGCCCACCCACCCCCCGCAGCTGGGAAGCAAAACAAAAGGTGAGATGCGATGTTTGGCCTGACCACACGGCATCCGTCGGTGAGAAAAGGCGCTGTGAGCGTGACACCCGCTTTTCAGCAAGCTCGACCTGCCTTGCCAAAGAGCTGGAACGCCTCCTGAGACAAAGTGATGTGCGGCGAACCCCCCCTCCCCCCAGCTGCGGCTTTGTGCAAATCGTGTCGACGTGTGTCGACTGTTAGCTCCAATTGCTGGACCCCCCCGCCCCCCCAACACCCCCCCCAACGCTCCTCAACAACGCTCCTCAACAAGATTCACACGTCGCCTGAAAAACAAGGGCCGGTCAATGAGATCCCCTCCTTGGCAAACTTGTGCATCTCCTCCGGTTCTTGGAACTTGTGCAGGACGTTCACCTGGCTACGCCAACTGGCAAACTCTCAGTAGCTTCCTTTCAGACAAGACTGAAGCAAAGCACTCAGCAGCCGCCTTTAGAATCACGCGCGGATCTGGCACATCAAGTCGTGAAGGAGTCTCTGCTCTATTGTCCCAAAAAATCCAACAAAAAAACAGGCTGCACTTGCCAAGAGACGCTGTGCTATGGAAGAAGGACTTGGCCCTTGTAGAATGTCGAGGGTCAAACCGTATCTTAGCTCTTGCAGCCTGGCCGCCATCATCAGCACCGCTCGTGCTTGCCAAAACGTCTCGCCCAGCTCGTTGAAGAGCCTGACACGGACCCAGGCTCTGGCATTGGGCCAGAACCTCGGGCCACTTCGACTCGCTCGGGATCTGAGTCCGACTTGCTCATAGACCCTCCCCATGCGGCCAAATGCCGTGAAGCCCCGCGTGTCCCATTTGGCGCGCCCCACGGGCCCGGGGCTGTTTGGCGGGTGCCCCGGCTCGCCTGATGGCCTCCTCGCACCAGTACTTGGAGTCCGAGCGCATCTTGTGCAGCGGCCGCGTCACGTTCAGCTCCACCAGGGTGTAGTACAGCACCCCCTGAGCCTGGGGCGCAAGCCGCCGGCCCAGAGATAGTGGCCCTGTATCACCATCAGTGGCCCCTGGGTTGTCCTACAGGCCCCCCATTCCAATGCCACGCGTCTGCCATGAACACACAACAAGGATGCCACTTTGTACCTACACACAATACAAACGATGTTTGACAATCCTTTCTCATCGACTGCGCTCGTGCTGCAGGCATTGCAGCAGGCCTTCAGGCCCTGCAACAAAATTGCCCTGAATTGATCTTACTTGATAGCCTCGCCACAAGGCCCATGGCAAATCTTTTGTTTTCACGCCCCAAGCCCCAGCCTTCAAGCTGTCGGCCGCCCGAAATCGCGAGAGCTCGATCTCGCAGAAGAGGTCGACATCATGGGCCTCAACATCCGGGAGCACACGGACCCAGTGTGAGGCTGGATGGGCCTCATGCCCTTGCGGCAGCTACAATGTGCAAGCCATCCGTCCACGCCGCAATTCAGCCACTAGCCAACCAAGCAAGATCATGCTGCTCAGCAAGAGCAGGGCCAATACGAAAAAATATACGCCAACTGCTTTGAACAGCTTTTGTTCGGTCTTTTGTCAACTCGAACAAACCAACTGTCGAGGGACAAGGGCCCTACTTGCCACATCGGAGGCAAAAGCCATGGCACGGCGGTCACCACGCCAACCCTGCCCCGCAAGCCTTCAGCGTCGCCTCCCCTGTCGTGGCGCCGAACTCGCCTTAGTGCGGCAAGGTCACGCCGTCTGCTGGAATGGCTTGCTTTGCCGGCGCGGGGGGGGAGGGGGGTCCAATGTGAAGAGCACCAATGCCAACAATGACGAGGGAAACTCAAAGTCAATCATAGATTTGTGGCCCCACAACCGCACCTCAGCTTCACAAAATTGTTATCACCCGCGGTCACCCAGTTAAAGGTTTTCCAGAACCCCCCTCCAGTGTTGAAGCCAGAATCCGGCCCGAGACGTTTGCATGGGCTGCCACCAAAACAAAATCGGCCCAAGGGCATTGGCATTTTCCGTGGGTGAATGAAGTTTGCTAAGACCATTCCAAACCATCCACAAACCAGAATTTCTTCAGAGCCTCCCCTTCCCGGGCCCCACTGTCCGTTGTCAGTCGCGCCCCGGCCCGATCCGTGTGCAGCCCTGGCACCATCGTCCTGCTTCGCCAGGACCTCGATCCGGAACGCCTCGCCCGAAGCGAAAGCCCTGAAGCCTCGAAGCCCCGAAGCCGGTGGGCACGTAGCCCACGTGCCCAGCCCAAGTTCCAGGTCTCAAAACGACTTCTGGCCCGAACTCTTGAAGCATCTGGCATCGCCAGGCCACAAAGTGCCTTCTGGGGGGCAAAAAAACACAGCAGAAGGAATCATGCTTCCGCACCTCCGCCTCCGAGTCCATGTCCCCGCTCTCCAGATAATACTCCCGAGCGATCTGGGCCTGGAGTTCCCGACACGCCTTGGCCTGACGAAACCTGGAGACCACGAAGAGCTCAAACGTTGCAAGATCCCGTATCAACCCAAAGCCGGCCATGGGGTGAAACCCATGTGTTGATCTCTTGCCCTGCTTGTATCTGCTGCAGCCGGCACGGCGAAACACCAAGCAATTCGAGGAAGTTGGTAAGTAACAGAAATGGCTTGCACCACCGCCGGGCGCTGCCAAGTGCAAATTGGCTGTAGCTGAATGCGAGCTGCGATTCTCCAACATGTTTCTCAAGATCAGGCCCACTATCGCCCCAGCGACAATCAAAGGGCAACTGATTCTCTATCAATGGCTGCATCAGGAGTTTGGCTTGTCTCCTGTGCCAGGCAGCTTTTACATGCTCTTTCCCACCCGACTCAAGACCGTTTCATTCTCATGAGCCCTGGTGAATCCTGCCTGCTCCAGTGCTTCAAGAATCTTGCCAAGGACTAGCAATTCCTGGCTTGCACACGCGGATCCCTTGCTAAGGAGAAAAGGACTTCCTCTCGTCACAGTTGAGTTGTGGGAACGAATGATTGATTGGCGTTCGGCCCCCAATTCTTCGGAGAGGATGCCAGCCACCGCATGTTCCACTTATGCCTTGAGTGCACAAGCGTGTCGAAATGACAACAGTCCCCCTGGAAAGCTGCCGCACGTGCCCACGAGGATTGCGCGGCAAGCGGGTCCTCCGCCTCCTGCAAAATCTTCCGTGCCTCAAGGTCTGACTCATCTAGGCCTGGCAGAAGCAGGAAAAAGGACACCTGCAGATCCCAAGATCATGGTCCCTCGCTTGCGAGGTCTCCTGAACGAGACCCAAGCAAATTTGGGGGGAGGGGGGGGATCCAATGAATAGGTTTAGGATTGAAGAGGGAAAGGCTGCAAAGGCGAAGCCTATCACCGGCCGCCTTCGGACAACAGAAGCAGAGCGCACGATTAAGCTTGGGCTGCGGGACTAAACAGTCTGGTGCAAGCAAGGCACATATTGATCCGAAACAATCCGAAAGGATGGCTGGACCACCCTGCCTGGCGCCATTCGCCCCGAAGGCCTAGAGTGACACGTGCACCCTCAACCCTTAGCACCGGCTTGGCTTCCTGCATGACGACTACTTGAAAACAGTCCAACAAGGGCGCTATCACTTGCTTTGCTTACACCTCGGCAGCATCGGGTTAACACCTTAACACCCGGCAAAGCAGCACTTCAGCAGTGCAGCTGAGGCGCGTTTCCGGCGTCTGGCCATCTACCAATAAAGCATCTTCACACCACTGAGCCAAAGCATCGCCGAGGCGGTCTGCCTGCAAAAGAAGACCTGACTGACTCATGCAACAACTTAGTGCGAGGGGGCCGATTCGGGCACAACGCTTGGCGCGAGGGATCGGCAAGGATTCCGCGCAGGCTCCAATACAAGTTCAAGCCCTTGAGCCCCTTCAAAAAGGCGTTCATGAGAAAAAAAGGAAGAAGAAAAACATGATGCTTGCACTGGCTTCTTTTGCCAACCACCCGCCACATCCGCCCGTTATTTGTTTGGCCGCCAAGCTGGCTCGCTGAGGCTCCGCACGCGGCGAACGACAGCGTGCGGCAGCAAAAGCAAAGGAGTGTGGCACCTGTGGCAAAAGCATTTCCATCAGCTTGGTTCCTACTGGCTGCAGTTCAATAAGGAAAGTTGGCGAATCTTGCTATCGGCCTGTCATTTGCTTTCCTGTGCTCAAATGGTATCAAACGGCCCCTCCCAAATGGTGCCCAACAGCGGCCAAACAAGCCAGCCAGCCAGGCAGCCCATGGGTTTGGGGTGGCCTTGGGGGCGGGCTGGGAAGGATCCGAGCAGGTCGTCCTGGGAAAAGATCAGTTCGGCCGCTGGGATTCGGCCGCTGGGAGCGTCCCCTAAAACCAGCATGGCGAGCATCCCTTTTTGGATCCGCGGACGGCTCGCTGTGCATGGCTCGGCGCGATTGCGGGCAGCTGACAACCAAAACTGCAACAAGTCAAAAGGAACCACAAGTCCAGTGCAGTCTGTGAGAATTTAGGCCAAAATCTGAAAACGTTCATGAAAGGAGAAAGGAGCGTACCCATGGAGCTTCTTTTGCTCGCTCAAGGAGGCGGCTTGCCAAGTTGCCTCCCCCCTTTCCGCTTCGTGCACTCCTCACCGGGCATACCAACCCAATGTGCTGGACCTTGCGACCTGGCCGGCAGCGATTTCCCTCTCAGTCTGTTCAGGATAGGGGTGCCCACTCTTTGCTCCAGGGGGTAAAGTGACGGTGGGGCTGACAAAGAAGCCGCATTGACCGACGCCAAGCCCGCCCGCCCAACTTCTGCATCAAGGTGCTAGCCCCTTGATGAAGTCCATGGACATCGGCTCAGATGAAGGGGACTAGATGGTGCAACTCATCATCTAGATTCACGACAGAGAACCAGTGAAGCGCCTGCCTGACGGATCAGGTGGAAGAAGATGCCGCGCCCTCCTCTCCTTCTTTGGGAGCAGCATCTGCCATCAGCTTGTTGATCTCTGTGTCCTGCTGATCCAAACCAAGAGTGGTGAGATTGAGAAAGGGGGAGAAGGAGAGAAAGCGACAGAGCAAAACAAAGGGGCAGAGTCGGAGGTAGAGGGGAGGGAGACGCCCTCTTGCGAATTGCTTCGCAAGCTTTCGATTTTACCAACCAAAAAGACACAAACACAAATCGATCCTGAAGAAGAACATGCATGGTTGAAGCCGTGCCTCCCCTACTATCCAGGATTCCCAGTCCTTGAGCATGCGGAACTTGACCTGACGCTCAAGAAGTGAGGCAAATGCGTGGCGGCCATGATGAGTGCTGGACCCAAAAAGCAGCCGAAGCTAGTTTGAAGCAGAAGGAAATCGAGAACAACAAGCCAAATAGATTCCAGGCAACCATTGGCTCATGACCGAACTGGGAAGTGTCCGGAATCACAGCCAGCATCAGCTTGGCTCAATCTTTGGCCGAGGCACTTGACCCTCTGCGGTCTTGTACACAATGCCGAATTCAAGCCTCTCTGCTGTTGGCGAGGCAGTGTCCATGGTCTTCACCTGCCGCGCACGCCCGCCCACGTCCGCCCGTCAGAATCCTTCCGGGTAGGGGGCTGCCTGACTTTGAAGCTCCGGCGCCTAATTGAGATGCATGGCCAGGCGCTGCACAAAAAGTCACAGATCTTCAAGCATGGGTCCGGCATCTCAGGGCTGGACCCAGTTGAAATGGTACCCTTGATGTACAGGGCTTTGGGAGGTCCAAGTAGGATTCATACATTTTTCCTCTTCAAACCGTGCTTGCAAATGGCTGAAGCCAGCCCAGTAAGGTTCAAGGCAGGAAAAAAGAGCTCCCTTTTGCAAGCTGTCCAGGGGATTCGCCTTCCATCCTTCAGGTGGCACACCTTCCTCCATGCTCCGCATTTCTCCTGCAAGTTCCCGACCAACCCCGCCCACCAAAAGCCCTCGAACCCCACGAGCCACCCACGCGCTTGGGTCCCCAGGCCAAAGTCTTCGCAGTCAGTTCCAGCGCCTCCTGAAGCTTCATGCCTCGCAACATGCCAGGCTGTGATCAGCTCACAAGGAGAAACACTGATCTCAACGGTGTGCGCCTGTTTGTGTCTGCCTGTGTCTGTGTGACTCCCATCTGGTTTTCAAAGTCTTGCCAGGCCTGACGGATCACTGCGTATAGTTTACACACACACACCAGGCCGGCAGGACGATCATTGATTTGAGGAATCACCAAGAACAAAACAAGCTCGGCCCAAATGCAATGTGAAGTGCTGATGATTTCAGATAGGTTTCCCCCCGCTGCTGCAGCCATGACTTATGAAAGACATGCTCGTTAAGTCTTGACAACTTGATTGCTTGAAGGCTGGCTTACCAACACACATGCCAGCTGTGCAGGCTTGGATCCTGGATTCGCAGATTGGAAACCCCTCCCTCGCAATATCTCGCCTGGCTTCCAGTCTTGCCGCATGATCTGCATGGCGGTATTGTTGTTGACGCCTGACGGTTGGTAGGGCAGCAACTTGCAAAATCGGAGAAGGATTGCTCCGGAGAAGCACCAGCGCCATTTAGAAGCTATGCTTCTCTGACGAGCTGCCCAGCCCAAAACAGATCCGCAATTTGAGAACGCTGCCACCCGCCTATGGCATATCCCTTCCATCCGCTGAAGTTGCCGGAAGGATCCGTGTGGTAGAGCCTCAGCTGCTGCAATGCTATGACGCACCAACGTAACGAACCAAAACCATTGATTCCCTGCGTCTTGCAAGTAGGAAACCTTTCTTCCCTGCAATCCACCCTAGGGACGCCCTGCTCTCACTTTGCTGGCTGCCTTCCCAAGAAAAAGGCATAGAACTAAGAAAGTGTGCGAAGACGACATTCCTGGTGGAGTCCTATCTGTCTGCCCGACAGTGCTTTGCGCGATGGCATCTTCCTTGCATCCAGGCAGTCCCAACTGCGATGTGGAAGGCTTGGAAGCCTTTTGTGCCCCATCTCCCCACCAACCTCCAGGCTCCGTCGGAGCACAAGGGCCCGGGCTGGAAGCCGTGGTGCGCATCGTAGCCCGCCACCAGGAAGGACACGCCGAAGGGCCGCAGGCCGCCGAACTGAGTGTAGCCCTGCAGTTGGGAACTGTCCCAAGCTCGTTGGCCAAGGGCCCGGGATAAACGACCCAAATCGAAGGGCATGGGGGGCATGGGTGAATGGGGGCATCAGGGCATATACTTCCTGTCCAACGAGTCGGCCAGACCCAAACGGCACAGCTTCAAGAACACCTCACCTCATGCCCTGGCGCCCTTGCGCCGCCCACAAAAACACCGGCACCATGCTGCATACTACTCGTTGTTGTGGCTACTTGTTGTTGGACCAAAGCAGTAGCACAACAGGATTCCAAGGGATCCCACGCATCGAATTTCGTAACAGGCCGCTGCTCCTCATACCCGCAGTTCCCCCATCAAACACTTCCCCGCTCCACCCCTTCCGCTGCGAAACTTTGCACTGATAGATGCAACTGCTCCGCTGGTACCAAGGGCAGTGCAAATCGGGATGCTGGCAAAACTAAACCAAAAGCTCATCCAAGCTTTGCCACGCGCTATGGCGCTTCATCCTGGATCCCGGTCCTGCTTGTAGTCGCAGATGGACGTCACAAGCTGTTCCACCGGCATTGCCTCGCTGAAGGAATACGCCTCAGGGAGCCAGATTCCATGCACCGATGGTGGCAACCCACAAGCAGCTGCTCCCCAGCCAAGACACCCCGCTGACAAGGGCGGACATACTCTCCCCGCCCCCACCAGGATCCGAACATCCGACGTGTGCTGCGATGTTTCATCGTGAGTTGTTCAGCCATGCCACGGAACGTGCAGACCCAGAAAACCCTCACAGAACTGAGGTCCCGGCATGCTGCTGGGCCGTCAGGCGGAGCCGGTTGATGAGGATGTTCCTCGCAGACCCCCCCGCTTTCCACCCCAAAGGCAGCCAACCGATGGTGGAGTTTGGTTGTTTGTTTTTGTTGTTGCTTGGTTGTTTTAGGGGGGAGGGGATTAGCAGTCTCGTCCCCGGATCGATTGGACATCTTCTTCTCTAGGTCTGATGTTTGGCGGAAGTTTGTCGGTTGGAAGCTGCGGGCGGAATTCCGTTCACGGACGCTTGCGCTCTCTGTCCTGAATGTATAGGCCAACGGGTTGTGCCCTAACTGGCAGGACAATTGGAGTCACGAGACAAGCAGACGGAGGCTCCAGGCTGAGAGCTTTAAGCCGCAAGTTAGCCAGTCCTACTTCTCCTGGCCAGCCCAAGCGATCTTTGCAACAGCGTGACTAGCACTGCTGAGAATCGACGACACAAAACAGCGCACGAGGTCACGCAAGGCTCCTTGGCAGTTTGGCCCCAGAAATTTGTCTACCATTCTAATCTAAATTTGGAGGTGTTCCTTGGTTCTTATGCACCTTCCATGGCGGGCCTCCACACCACAGAGCGGTCTGAGCGCCCCGCGCATCGGAGGTGATGCCTGCCACAGCGCCTGAAAACGCTCAGTCACGTCGTTCTCAAAGGGGTCCCCAAAAAAATGATGACTTCCTTTGGGCGAAAACAACAGCCAAAAGGGGCCTACCATCCCATGTAAGGGAAGGACTGTGAAACATGTGAAGCAAAAGACGCAGTTCAAAGAGGCAATTGAAATGTTGAACTTGTCCAGCAGGCTTGATGCGTACTTGTAATGCCCAAGTTTGCCGTTCCGACATCCAGGTCCCTCAATTTCACTTTGTTGCACCGGCAGTTTTTGTGGAACCCACTGGGAAAAATAGCAACATTAGCAACCAGTGGCCCCTGCTGGATCCCAACAAGTGCCAAAAACGACTGGAACATTGTGGGGATCCTAGCCCACCTTGAAGAGCTGCAAGATATGTGCCGTGATCCGGACCCCCAAGCCCCAAAATACAGAAAGAAATGGTGGGGGTGACCCTTTCATGACCAGACTCAGTTGCTAAGATCAAGCACGTTGAGAATTGTGGGGGGGGGACTGAACCCGGAGCAAACCTTCATAACCATCTGAGCAGGCAGAACCCCCCCCAAAAAAAAGTGACCCCGACATCTGATCCTCCACTTCCCAAATAAGCCCCAAATGATGCCACATTTCAAGCATCGAATTTCAAGTCTCTGAGGCCGCGACAAAACATGGTGTCGTCCAGCCTTACGTCAAACGCAACGAGGCAAGCAAAGCCGAGGCTCCGCCCTCCTTGTGGGAGGATCATAGCCTGAAGGCTGCGACCCCGCTTAAGCTAGCCGTTTGACACACCCTCGGGAATTGGTAGCTTCAACGTCCCAAGCTGGGCCGCCTTTAACCTCGCCGGTCCACTGATGTCGCTAGCTAATCAACCTGAAGACAAGAGTGTCCATGAAAGTAAAAGCCTGCTGAGCACAATCTGCAACATGCCTCCCACGAGGAAAATGAAGGCAGCTCATTCCGCAAAAAGCTTAGGCCGAGGCTGAAAGAGCTTCTCGTGCTGCTTCGCCTGATCCAGGAGCTTGGAGGTGGTCTTCTTCTCACCCGCCAGGATCACCCCGTCCTAGCGACCGCGTGCGCGACTTCAAATCCGCAGGGACATCTTTGGAGCCCACTTGGCAAATCATGGGCAGATTGCGGGGGGGACATCGACACTATGAGGCTGGCCGTGAACTTGCCATGGCCTCCCCTACATGTGTCAACCATGGACTTTCAATCGGTGGCCAACACTTTGTCCCAACCAGTCCTTGGCCTGACTATCACAACAAGACGCTAAAACAGCCTGGACCGAGCATTTGGACCCAGCATTTCCACCCCGCCTCCGCCAGGACGCCCACGGTGGAACCGGCTAAGTTGATGGCCTCCATAGCGTACTCCACCTGCGATACGGCTTCTGCTGGGCGCAGAGGCAGCTGAAGAGAGGGCTGTCTGCCTTTGCAGTTGGCAGGCTCTCTCCCTTCTGAAAACCTCACATGCGTAACGGCAGGTGGGGGCAATGCAGCGAAAACAGGTGGCAAAACAGTCCAACCGGAACTGGGCGGGAATCGAACCCCACCCGTGGACCCTCTATTGAACCACCACATTTTTTGGATTGGCAAATCGGTCAGCCCGCCACCATCCCAAGCAACTTGCCTGGTACAGGCGCCCCTCCGGTGAAAAGGTCGTGGTCCGGGAGTCATAGCGCCGGGCCATTGTGGCCTGAGCATGGGACTGCATGGCGCATGTTCCTAGCTCACCTTCTGACGGGAAGCAATGCTGAGAAACCGCTTGTCCCCTTCGACCATCTGAAGCAAAGCATTCAAGCTCGAAAGTCGCAAACCGTGCTCGCGCAACTCGACATCCAGCCCCGCGCAGTGGCCTAATGTCGACCTATGATTAACAAACCTCCCCCGATTAAAGTTATGTTGTGGGACCCCCCCAAAAAATAAGCTCTGTGTTTTTTCGTTTTTTTCCCGCGGGGAATCCACACACACAAACACACTCACACAAATACACCAAACACACACACACACACACACACCCACCCACCCACCCACCCACCCACCCACCCACCCACCCACGCACGCACGCACGCACGCACGCACGCACGCACGCACGCACGCACGCACGCACGCACCCACCCACCCACCCACCCACCCACCCACCCACCCACCCACCCACCCACCCACCCACCCACCCACCCACCCACCCACCCACCCGCTAGCATCATCTCAACCTCTTCCACTAGCTGGTCTGATTGGTCAGTATCTGCCTCGCCTGCCGTAAAATGTCAGATCTACAAAAAATACTAGCTCCCAAACTGCATTTGTTTACATACTCTTGTTCAAAGTGGCCCCGAATCAACCCTACAAGGGGGGTTGTACTTGGGGTTGAAAAAATATATTTAGAGGCCCCCCCTAAACAAAGACTCCTGGTTGCCCCCCCCCCAGAAAAAGAAAACAAGACTCAACTCGTGTTTGAAAAGGCTTTCTTAGTTTTAAAAGGCTCAATCTTCAAAAAATTTCCCTTGAAACTTGCTCCCTATGATTTCAATCATCTAGCCTTTGGCAATCCCAACAAAATCCCAGCTCCCAAACTGCAAATTATGTACATACTCTTGTTTAAAAAGTGGCCCCCAATCAACCCCACAAGGGGGATAGATAGTACTTGGGGGTTGAAAAAAACTTTACTTAGCCCCCCCAAATAAAGATTCCTGGTTGCCCCACCCCCTAAAAAAGAAAGTGTCACCAGCAACACTAAATCAATTGGAATCCCAACAAGTCAAATCTCAAAAGGAGGCTCCAGCAATACTAAACCAGTTGAAACTCAAATCCCTTAAGTCAAATCTCAAAAGGAGGTTCCAGCAATACTAAACCAATTGGAAACTTAAATCCCTCAAGTCAAATCTCAAAAGGAGGCTCCAGCAATACGAAATCAATTGAAAACTCAAATCCACCAATGCTAACCAATTGGAAACCCGAATCCAATCTCAAAAGGAGGCTCCAGCAATACTAAATCAACTGAAACACAACAAATCTGTGAGCAATACTTAGCAATTCGTAATCAAGTTGGAAGAACTATTTGGGGAGGAAATGTTTGAGGGGGGGGAGGGGGGGGGGGATTATTAATCAGAGGTAGACATTAGGGCTCGGCAGCGGCCGAAAAGCTTGAGGACGAGGCCAAAAGCTGAGGCGGGGCTGACGGCGGTTTTTGTCCACCGGGTGGCTTTTTTTGGGTCTGAGCCGAAAGGATTGCGGTCCCCGCCCATTAGACCAACGAGAGCGGTGAAGGCGATCCGAGCCCATGTAAAGCCGCCCACACTGGTATGACTTCTGATTGGGGCGCGCTGGTGGACATCGTTGGCGGGGACTATGTCTACCAACCATTTACCAAGGTACTCCGCGTTCTGAGCCATGCTGAGACTGTGTTTCCAATGCAGCTGCACAACCGTGTTTTTGGCCGGTGTTTCGCCAATGTTCAGTTTGCGGTTTTCCTGCGATTGGTTTCGTACTGTAGGCATTGAGTCAGCCATGACCTGGGAATTTGCCGCAGCACTCGGCACATGGACGTGGAACAGCCGGAAATCACTTCCCCAAGTTCCTCAACTACCCAAATCAGAGACCGTGACGCTCCTGCTCATGGACTGCCACCTCGCCCCCAAGACCCTAGCTTGCCTGCAAGAAGGCCGGCCCAAGGCGCGCAGAGACCTCAGCTTTGCAAACACCCCATTCTAGCCTGCGGAAGGCCTCGAGAGCACAAGAAACAACAGCCCCAACCCTCGGGCCAGCTGCAGCCATCACCCTCGCTCTGAAGCACCCAAATCCACAAAGGTCGGCCTACCAGTGAGCGCGCTCCGTCTTCGCGCTGCATCTTCACGGGAAATCAGGAGCGAACTCCCCCCACGCCAAACATCAATATCAAGAACGTTGTGGACGTCCTACCCGTGTACGCAAAGGTGGCAATAGTCGGGATCATGCCTGGCGAATCCAAACTTGTCTTGCCTCCCCTGTCCCAGCCACTTTGGTCCGCTCCTTGGAACCCTCCAGCTTTTGGTGCCGCGAGCTCGGAAAGGACACACCTGGGCAGTCAACAAGGCCCTCGACCAGCAACCAAAGCGGTCAAGCTTGAGGCCAGCATTGTGTTTGATTGAAGCAGAGAATGACCACAGTTTGTGCCTGGCTATCCCTATCGATCATTACCTCAGCTCTAGAAACCAACAAAATAGAACTGGGGTCCTATCTTATTATTCCATGCTAATGTATTCAAGGCGTGCGCGTGCTTGAAACACTCTAATTTCGACACGTGGAATTTCACTCCGTTGGAGAGTGACTTGCGACGGCACGTTCACGGGTCGCTGCGAACATGAAAGTAAGCAAGGTCAGCCGCCATAAGCCCGTTTTTCTCAGAAAACAACGTGACGGCGTTGAAATTCCAGACAGGTTTGCAAAAAGGCCTGTCAAATTGGCATCTGAAGATTAAACTCAATCTGTCGCCGTGTCTGCTGACAATCACGCATCCTGAAAATGGCGCGTTTTCCGGCACGCTAGCGAAGACGGAAACTCACTACACTTTGGAAGGGGCCGAGCGCTCGCCCCACTAGCTACAGCACAGGCCAGTGCCTTCGGCAACAGGCTCTAAAAGATCAAAGGACGCAAAGCTTCCTTTTACAACCAACTGAAAAAGTACCCACTTTCAGGAAACGAGGGCAAATCTTGCTTCAGCAGTAAACCTTTGCCACTGCATGGCTTCGTGGGCCGGGGCTGAAACAAACAGTGGGTTGAAAATCGAATCTCAGCGAATCCCTCTAGTGCTGACCGGCCCGTGCCTGCCCCACATGAATCATGTAATCACGTTTCGGCCCCGGCCTCGACTCCTTCAAGGAGCACGGGAAATGCAGCTTGAAGCCCCAGGTTCTCCCTGTGGGCCCTGCCTCGCACTTCTGCGCCAAGTCAAGGCGAAGCTGAAGTGGAAGCTGAAGGCAGGCTGGCTGCGCTGTCCATCCCTCTACCAAAGCCGCGGGTGCCGGATGTTCGGTGTGAACTCTGCCCATGTGGACTGCCCAGACTGGTTGAAGATGGACTCAAAGCCGCGGGGGGTAGACCGAACCTCAGGCCAATAAGAGAGCCGTTGTCGAAATCACGGGCGTTCTCTGACCTCATGTTGCGCGTGTTGCCACGCAAAGACATTCATTGGCTACCTAGGGAGGCTGAAGCACGGTTCCACAAAGGACTGGAGAAAGTTGAAGCCTTAGCCCCAGAAAAACGCCAGGGAGGCAAATCATCCACACTTGGCCTGCCAAGTCGCGCTTGCAGTGCCAAGCCGGCTTCGCGTGCCTTGCCAGGCTGTCAAGAAACACACCTCTGTTTGAACAATCGCGTTGTCTGTTTCATGTTTCAGCGGTTAGCCTCATGAACCCCTCGCAGCTCCTGGAATAGTTGACAACTCATGGAACCAGACAAACGGCCCAGCCAGTCCTCTGGCCTGAGGCACAAAGCAGTCCAATTGGCTGGCGTGCCTTGGGCACGCCTCTATGGCGTGCCTTGGGAACGCCAACCACGCCCAAAAACGACCTCTCCCGAACGCAAACGTTCAAATGGCTTCAAGACGTCCGTGCGTGTCCTTGCCACGCAAGCCTACTCATTGTCACATTGCGCGGCGGCGCGACTGCATGTCCAGCCGCACCAATACAACAAGCCAAACAGCGCAGTACATAAGTGCCACACGGACACCCCGCAGAACGGCCTCCCCAAAAGCCCCGAGCTCTGCCGGCCTGCTTCGGTGGCGGGCCGGGAGTCCGGCGCGATGGAGGAAAACCGGAGGCTGGAGGCGGCAGAACCCCAGGTGCATCTCAGGCTCGACCTGGGGTGCTCTTGGACAGCCAAGGACTGCCCAGCCCTTGGCGTGCCGCAGAAACACGCTCAGAAAAATGTGGCGCGGAAAAGCACGGCTGCCAATTCTGTGATTCATTGCTCTTGACCTTCCCAAGTCAAAAAAGGCCCAGGATGACAAAGCGAGTGGGAAGGTGTCCAAAACTGTCCTTCGGTTTCTGGGCCAATTGCTGCGATCATTGTTGGGGCATGATTTTCCAGGGCGCCGCCTCTTGCAAGCTCAGGAGCAAGGAAATCACAGCTCTGAAGGAAGTTATTGAACAAAGAAATCCAGCCTGAATACCGACCTCCAACGAACTCCAGGCTGCCCAAAACGAGATACTTGTTGTATGAGCACAGACACTGGCCAGTATGCCCAAGCAGTTGCATGCCTGCCTGCTGTCAAACTTCTTACCACTGGCATTGAAGGATGTGTCACACTTGCAAACTACAAACCTCCTCAAAGCTTTTGCAGGCCATGGCACATTCCCCAGGGCGCCAAGTGAGGTAACTCATCGCCGTCAAATTTGGCAGAGGCCATGTTGTGCAGCTTCACCTTCCGTGGCTGGACTCTGCTTCCCGTGGCATGGCAGGTTTTAAGCAGGGCAAGGCGGCAGGACCACACAAAGGGAGCACAACAAATCGGCATGACCCATGACCTATATAACCCTCCCGACTGATGGGCTGAGATGCGGGGCCTCGTGCTTTCTCTTATCATGACAACGGGCCGGTGCGAGTAATGCATGGCAAAGGCAGGCTCACTTGCCCCCACCCCTGGTCCCTGTGCTCCACCCACACGCCTTCCGCCCCAAGGGCCGCTGGATGTTGTAGTGCCAACTGCTTCGGCCCGCCCGGCCCACATCCCCGGACGGCTCCGCCAGAGCCGCGCGGAGCCTCCAGATTTTTGCCGTGGCCGCACCATGGTTTCACGTGTCTTTCTTGCTGTCCAACGACTTTGCTCAAGAAGCTCACTTCATAAAATGACTTCCGCCGTCTTCCGGGTGCAGGTCCCGCAGCATCTCCTCTACTCTTACCTTCAATATTGGTGGCTCAATGGAAAAGCCTACCATGCAGACCCCTGGTTCTTTACAAATCCACAAGGATCCACTGTTTCAACGGGCCCTGAGAGACCCCCGCTTTCTCTTAACTGCTTTGGCGCTTAGAAAGCCAAGCGGCTCGGGTTTCGCACACAGCGCCATCTCCATGGGTGGCTTCATGAGCTCCCGGTTTGTGGTTGTGACCTCAGAATTCCGACGAAGTGATTCAGGTCGGCAGCACCCGGACACCTTCATTTCCGGCAAAATGATGGGTCCGGGCCAATCCAAGCAACATGAAAGATGGCCTCGGAAATGTGGCCTCGGAAATGCCTCCACCCTTGAGGTGCCTATCAAAACTGCAGCCACGGGGATAACTGCTGACATGACTTGGTCTTAACGGAACAATTCAGTAGCCCACTCGCACCAAGGGCTCATGGAAGAGAGGAGATTCGCAAAGAGAAAAATAGAAAAAGAAGAAAAGGACAAAAAAAGAACAAGAAACAAAATGGAGGAGAAAGAAGAAGAAGAGAACGACCTGGGCCCCTGGCATCTCGAAAGTGGCCTCGGCTTGGGCTCACAGGCAAGGGCTCTAGGAAGCGGAGGGCGCATGAACCAAAACGCCCGTGTGACTCAGGGTGTCGTGCCCTGGGACCGGAGAAAAAAAAAAAAAGAAAAAAACGACTTTAAAAGGAAAGGAGGAGAAAGAAGAAGAAGAAGAAAAAAAAAAAAGGGGGGGGGAGCCCCACTCGGCCACTCAAACAAAAGAAGGTTCCCTCGAAAATCAGAATGCCTCTAATCCTGGTCCCTCGGTGCTTGGCCGCGATTCATCGTAAGGCTAAAGGCTACCAAAGCTGCTTTTGGCCGGCAGGTCGTAAGCCTCACGGAGCAAACTCACTGAACAAAACCTGCCCTATGGCCTGACCATACGTACCCAGGGAGGAAGGCTTCACCAAACCATGCTTGTGTTGCCAACCTATTTGCTGGGCCCCTCTGCCTGGGTGTCCTTTTTCTTTCTTTCTTTTTTTTTTTTGGGGGGGGGGGGGTAAACCACATGAAGTTCATCCTTGGCTGCCCGCCTGCTTGATCCCAGAAATGCCGTCGTTGCTGGACCGCAACGTCTCCTGATTTCCAACGAATGGCCGTGTTTCAAAGTTCAACAAGGCCCTCTAGGCGGTTGGCGCTCTGTTCATCAGCCAAATGGGGGAAGGGTGCGTCCTAGTTTGGTCAGTGAAAAACATCCATTTTCGGTTGCCTCTGGCACGGGCCAGCCCCGGTTGCTTCTCTAAGCCCCTGGCAAGCCGAGGGCAAGCCACTTGTAGAAATTGTTTGCTTACTCACTGCACTGCAATGCTCCGGGCTGATCTCAGGACTGGTCACCGCCATGCCCAGCTCAGCTCAAAAACAGATGAAGATATCCCGTCCTGCCAGAAGATATTGAAGTTCTGGATGCCTGAAGGCTCGTAGTTCGCAATGCCACGCCGGGCCATGGCGCCACCCGCCCTTTGTTGTCAGCCCAGCGACCTGTGTTTTGTTGCTCTTCTTTTTTGACTTGGGGAGAACCGTCTTGCAACTGCCATAGCTGGTGGCCCCTCTGCCATGCTTTCCCCGCTTTTGCTGATGAAGGAACTGCACCTCGGCCGAAGCTTCAAGCCCGAGACTCGAGCCAGAAGCCCATACATCAAGAATGAAACACGTGGGGCAAGAGCGAAGGCGGGTCTTCACCGCCCTGCCAAATGCAACCGCCGTGTCGAAGCCGAGCTACTGGCTGCCAATGTTTTGCCAAACCATGAATTGAACCAAAGCGGCCTGGAACCACATTGACCGAGCTTGAGGCATACACCGAGCTCCTGGCCGGACTCACTGATGGCGTGGACACGTCCCTGGACCGAATCGCGCAAAGGGCAACCGGTCCCAGCTCGCAGCTGCCGCCCTGCTTGGCATCTGTGGCCTTTGATTCAGCCCAGCCTTGGAGCTCTCAGCCACCGCGATCAGCACAAGTTGCTGGTCATAGCCATCGCCTGAGGGCAGCTTCTTTTGAAAGGGAGGGGTGTGATGATTGCGGCCCGGGTCACTGCCAATTTGTTTGACAACATCTCTGCAGGATTCGCATGTGGGTGATGGGCCATGGGGGTTACGGTGCCGGGCCCAAAGGATCTGCCCTGTGAGCTCCTCAACGCCCAAATGAATTTGTGAACAACGCCAATATAAAAGTGGCTCTGCCAATGCTTGTTCAAAAAAAGAGTCGACCAAGGTGCCCGAAAACCAACGGCTCATGGCAAATGTTGCATGCTAGTCCATACTGCAAAATGCATGAATCCCGCCACTCCGTGGCAACTTGCCATGCTGCAAGCAAGTGAGTTCACGAGAGCAGCAACTCCTTTTCAAAACCAGCGGTTCTGGCGAGCGTTCAGCTGCTTTGCAAGGTCCAAGAACTGATCTGCATCCTCGGCCATCCTCTGTGACCTGGACGCAAGGCCGTTGATCTTATCACCTCGCTCTGCTGCGAGTGCAGAGGTCGCATTTAGCGTCTCTCTGACGCCAGCTGCCTGAGCTGCCGGTCGATCCAACGGAGCTGGCGGGGGAGGAGGCTTCTTTCTCAGATCTCTCCAAGCTGGAGTCAAGCCCCGGCCCCGGTCCAAGCGCTCTGCATCCACCTCAGCGGGTGGCGCCGTGCTCACCGTGCACGCGCGGAGCGTCTTCTGCGCACCGCGCCCGAAGAGTGCACCCAGCAGCCCATGGGGTTTGGACTGGTCGGGTTCTGTGGGGGACGCCTGCGGCTGGAGCGCTTGCACAAGCTGGGCGGAGGCGGTCGCCTTGGCGGAGGCATCCAGCTGGCATGCCAAGCCCTCCACGCAACACATCCACATGGCGCCCGCGCCCTGGAGGGTGAAGTAACCATCCGAGCAGAAGCCCCCGGGTGCAGGTCGCAAAAGTTCGGGGGCCGAGATGATGCTGGCAGCGCTCGCCACCGGCAGGGATGCCACGGGCTGCAGGCTCGGCAGGGAGAAGACCTCCAGCTGCCCTGTGGAGAGCAATGCCAACAAACATGGCTCCGCCAGGTGCCCCACCTCCGCTGCCAGCGCCCTCTTGGCGAACTTCACGCTGGCCTGCGCCAGAGATGCCTTCTCCCGCGGGAAGACGCTGGCGCCGTTGGGCTGGGCAGCCACCAGAAAGTGCGGGAAGACCTGCAGTGCCAACACCTGACCACCGCACACCTGAGGCAGCCGTGTCTCGCGGATCCGGCCGTCCAGGAGCTTGAAACCAGCAGACCCCCCTGCAATCTGCCGCAGCTCGCCGCTGGAGAAGGCGCAAACGTAGCTACCGTCCTCCTGGTCTTGGCCCGGCAGGATGCAATTGGAGAAGGCCACGGCCTCCAACGTTTCCGGCGGTGGGCCGGGGCCCTGGGAGGGCGAGTTCTGCTTCGGGGTGTGGGAAAAAAGCAGCTCACCGCTGTAGCAGTCGCTGATGCAAATCCGAGAGCTGGCATCTGCGGAGAAAACCTGCAGCCGTTCCCGAAAGGGCACCACCTTCAGCACCGCGATGCTGGCCTGATGCTGCCGCAGTCGCATTGCACAAGCGAAGCCACACGGAAGATCCTTCGCCTCCTGCGTCACACCTGCGTCTTCCTCACTGGCGTGCAGCAGCATTTGCACACGCCACTCCGCAGCCTCCGAATCTGACATCTTCTGTGGGGTGGTCTGCCACAAGAAAACGACAACCTCTCCATCACAGCTGCCAGCAGCCACAGCCTCAGTGCAAACCAAAGGGCAACAATCTCGGATTTATGCTGAGAAAGCTGCTCAAGGGAGTGGATGCTCAACGACCTGCTTCCAAATTTCCCTTGAGGGGACCAAAGGCTGGCTGTTCAAACCGGCGGCCCGAGTTCGCCAGGCCACCGCCACCCTCGGCTCCAGCACCACCGCACTCACCGAAGACGAAGCCGAAGCCTCGCCGGCGCAGAAGGCCGGGCACGCGTCCACGCCGTCGTAGCCCTTTGGGATCGCCTCGGTTGCCTCGTCGGAACCCACTTTTGGGCGGTGACAGGAAAAACAGGGGGAAGCCTTGGGTTCAAAGGCAGTCCATTTCCATTCCGAAATTGCCAGAGCTGTGACAGGTTGCAATCTTGCAAGTCGCAGAACCTAAAAAGGGAAAGGGAGGTGGTGACAACCGCGGAAAGGGTCGCTTCGCGTGCGTGTGCATGTGCGTGTGCGTGTGCGTGCGCGCGCGCGCGCGTGCGTGCATGCGTGCGTGCGTGCGTGGGCGGGCAGGCGGGTGGGTGGGTGGGTGGGTGGGTGGGTGGGTGTGTCCTCACATGCGCATGCGTGGCTGGACTTTATTTGCGTGAGCCTTTTGAATGCTACCTGCAGGTATGGCAAGAAATCGCAATACATCAGCAGGCAATTTCACTGGCTGACTCGATGGAGGGATCACTCGAATTCGGATT